GGGGGATTTGGTATTAACCTTTGAGGACAAGTGCTGGTCTGAAGAAGAGCTTTTTGTAGATGTTTGGGCAGGGGATAGTGAATGACCAGGCAAGTCATCCACGCAAGGGGGTTTATCTTGGGGAGGAAGATCGGATTCTTCAGATTGTAAGGAAGCAAACATGTTGGCAATAGGTACTTTGGGAGGAGGAAGATAGGAAGAGGGGGATGGAAGCTCCAAGGAAGAAGCAACATCCATAGGAAGGTTTAGATTAGGCAAGGGTAGGTCTTTAGAGGGGCCAACAAGAGAGGAAATAGGCAAAGCCTAAGGAACAATAATCGGAATGATAGGAGTTGAAGTCTGTGGAGGTAGCAGGAGTAAGAGCCACAGAAGACTCCACAAAGGGAAGAGAAGAGGGTAAGTTTGTAGGTGGAGGGGCTGAATTCAAGAGTGGATTAGCTGAACGCGGAATAGGGGGTTTAGAGGAAGGAAGTTGCTTCCTCATAGTAGGATTCTGGCTAGAACTCCTACCCCTGGGATGACCAATAGGCGGGATAGAAGGTTTTGGGTTGGGATTAGTAGAGAAAAGAGAGAAAGGATGGAAGAGGGATCTACAACCATCACAAGGAGATGGTTTCCAGTCATAGACCACCTAGAGGTTTATGTCTTCACCTTCAATGTTTACCAGGAATCTCATTAGGAAGAGCAAAATTTTTATTAATTTGCACACACACCCTAACAAATGTGAGTCTAGTTCGATTAGCAGTAAGGGAATCAACCGAAATGGGAACGCCTATATAACTGGCTATTCTAGAAATCCCCAAAGGAGTCCACAAAGCCAGAGGAAGATCAATGATTTTGATCCAAATCGGGATAGAAGCGGATGCATCCCTGACAGGTTTAAATTTTGGTGACCATCGTTGTAGAATGAATGGATTTCCCAGTAAAAACCAAGGCCCCCCATTCCACACCATTTCTGGGTCTTCCAAAGCAGTAATTTTAATAGAAAGAAACCATCCACTAGAGAAAGGAGAGTCATCGAACCTTTGATGCTCCAAACCTTTTTCATAGTCGCAAGCAGCCTCTCATAGTAGGGTCTAGGACCGATCAAGTAACCCACCAGCGAGAGATTCCAGATGTTGGCACCTTCCGAGAGATCATTACCCTTGAAAGATAGCTTCGGAGCTGGCGAAACAAAAGACATCGGGAAGTTGGTAGGTTTAGAAGCTGGGATAGAGAGATTCTCAGCATAGGAACCAGAAGGGAGCTCCAGAGGTTGGCCCATGAGCGAGGGTGAAGAAAGAGGAGAAAAATCATGTGCAGCGAGCTCCATAAAGCGGAGATGATGCCTCTTCCCCAAAGGGAAGAGACGGCGGCAAAAAGGAAGCAGAAGCTCGAAACCCTAGCAGAGCAAAAGTGGTGCCAAGATTCAAATCTCAGCGATGGTGCTTAGGCTTAGCCAATCCATTACTGCTTTAACCTTAACAGGGTCCACAAAAATTCCAGCCTCACTAACAATGTGACCAAGGAATTCTACCTCTCAAAGCTAAAAATCATACTTAAAAAATGTTGCATAAAGCTTATTCTTCTGGAGAATAATAATTGCTTCTTATCACTCTTTGAGTAAATCAAAATATTACCAATGAATACTATCACACATTGATCTAAGCATGACCTGAAAACTCTGCTCATCTTATCCATAAATATAGCAGGGGCAGTAGTCAACCTGAAAGGCGTAACATAAAATTCGTAGTAACGATATCGGGATCGAAAAGCTGTCTTCGACACAGCTTTATTATTGATCTAATACGACTCAGTCACATCCCAGTCTGGAAGTCGGTCCACCTCGGCGACACGGGACGTGATGAAAGGATATAAGGACTTATTTTGTATTCACAAATAGAAGCATTTATAGAAATCCTTAAAAAATGGACATCTATCGATACATTTGGAGATATTGGGACCATTAAGTGTTCGTTTTTCAAACTGATTTTACCAATTTTTTTTAAATAAAATGATTTATTTTATGAATATATTTTTAATAATTTTTAAAGCCCTAAAATAAATTATATTAATTATATATTGAAAAATTGGTTAACTAAATTATTATATTAATATTATATTAATATTTTATTATAAATATCTTAAATAATCTAAGTCACTAAGTTCAAAGTTTTTTTTAAAATCTATTTTATCCCTAAAATCTTCAACAAAGAATGGTTTGAAAAATTGACAGAAGAGAGGTGAGAGAACCGTGGTTTCAGAGGTCACGATGCAATTTTTGTCAGTCAAGTCTATTGAGAAATTTACTCATATCGCTATAAGGAACAGTTACCTTATTTTTTTTTTTCAATAATTTTGTATTTTTAGTATTTTGAGATTAAATTTAGATTTTTGTTACCAAAAAATGAAGATAAATTTGTATTGGTAAAGTTTTCACTGCATAATTTTTGTATGTGGTAGATCTCATCAGCATGAACATTTTGACGGTAACATATTAAATTTTCACCAATTAAGTTAAAAATTATAATTTTTTGAAGTAAATATATAGTATACAAATTTAATATATTTTCTTGTATTTATACATCTTTGCATTTCATACATGAGTTTACTGTAAAATAGATAAAGCTCTTATTTCACTAATATATTGATTTTATTAATATTTTTATTATTCATATTAAATGATGATTAATATTGACTTGAACTGAATATGCATATTAATTTTTTTGCCTTATATTAAAAGTAATGATAGAATTTTGATTTTCTACTTGACTTTTTTAGCTCATTATATGAATTTTTTTTATTTCAAGTCAGGTAAATAGTAAGGACTAATTAGAGTGAGATTATTAGAGATCCTTAGGATTTCTTTTGATTTTGTTTATATTTTCCTTTATTTATTGTAGTCAAGAGTTTTGTAATAGATTAGTGATTGTATTGATCTCCTAAATATTATATATTGATTTTGGGAGAATGAATATAATATAATATTTTGAGGTATATAATTGTTAATTGTTTTCATTGGTTATATTTATTTATTGTTTAGAAGCTCTATTGATTTAATTTATTAATTAAAAAGATAAAATAGATAATTCTTTCAAATTTGATTTCTAGCATCACTCAATGTCTACATTAACAATATGCTTAAATAAAAATACTTAATTATTTATGCAATTCAAATCATACAAAATAAAATAACTTATATTTTACCCGATAAAATTCAAAAATTAACCAATCAAAATGTATGTAATGCTCGGTACTATAACATACAAAAAAGTTGTATAGTAGCTAGAAGTTTGTTAAAACAAAAAATGCAATTAAATTAGTTCGGGGAAGAATCAAACAGTCATTTTGAAAATAGAAGTAGGGAATTAGTCACTTAGCTTGATTGGAACAATTTTTGTAAAAGCGACAAATTGATCTGATGGGTAAAATTGGATTTCTCCTCTCTCATCCTCTCTTCTCTAGGGGTGTCAATATTGGACTCGACCCGAAAATTTCGGGTTTGAGTTGACCCAAACCCGAAGCAGGTCGAGTACGAGTTCAGAAAATTGACCAGTTTGCAAAACCAGGTCGGGTTCAGGTTGACCCGGAAACTCGAAAATGACTCGAAATGACCTGAAAAATCTGTCTGCTCGCGTTGTCTGCCTCGCAGCCCGCCTGCCCGGTTGCCCCGGCCGCCCGCGTGCATCGAGCTATGAAAAATGCCTGCATAGCCTGCCTGCGTAGTCTGACCGCCTTCCCCCCGCTGTCGCGTGACTAGCTGTCGCGTGCCCGCCTACCCGGTTGCCCGGCTGACCCCTGCCGCTGTAGTCGCGTAGCCGAGTTGCGGAAACTGCCCGCTGCCGCACTGTCGCGCGATGACGAAGCTGACGTCGAACGCCGGCTGCCGAAGTCGACCGTTTTGTGCCGCTGCTGAAGCCGAATCGGGTCAACCCGACCCGAAGCAGGTCGGGTTCGGGTCCGAAAAATGGACCCGTATGCAAAAAAGGGTCAGTTTCGGGTTGACCTGAATAGTGCCGGGTCCAATTTCGGGTTCAACTCGAACCCGACCCGTGACCCAAAATTGACACCCCTACTCTTCTCCCTCCCCAGTTTGCTTCTCAGGCAAGCCGACAGTGAGTGAGGCTATGAGGGGGAGAACAGATGAGTGAAGAATATATATATATATAATTTTAGTGGCCTAGTGTCGTAGCGCTCAAGCCCAGCGTCGCAGCGATGTAAGCTGAGTCCATAATTACTATAGAATAGAGGCTTCAATGCCACAGCGGCCATTCTGAACACCACTATGCTCCAGACCCTAGCACATCGGTGCTCAAAGGTGCAAAGCTGCTACGCTGTAGTTCAAACAAGAATAAAAAAAATAGCACATTTCAAAAATTCAAGTTGTTACAAAAAGCAAAAAAAGAAACTATCCAACCCACATGATCAAAAGCATAATAAATTACCACACAATATAAATACAAAAATAGTCTATTACTGTTAACTCTACTTCTGAATTGACAATTCGCTAAACACACCAATAGGACTAGTAAGAAGAGACAATGGGTAAGCTTGATAAATCAAACTCAATAAGTAACTCCTATTTATCAAAATATAAACGAGAAAGGAGTGGGACATACACTAAAAACAACCAAAAAGTGAGAGTAATAACTTATCATCATTATATCAAAGTAACAATGATACATGCCATGTATCTTACAATAAATTCTAATAGCTGGTGTATATACTATGCCAAATCATTTCAATGCTTACAAATGAACCGCACTATATATCCTTATATCTCAAATGACTTACTAGTCATTTATAATTTTCAATTTATGTCCAATTATATTTAACATTTATATGCAGTTTATCAAATACTCATCACCGGGAAGGTAAATATCAACCCAAATAAATCCAATGATTTTTTTTAGAGTCGTCACTCTGGGCCCCATTGACCCCGACTAGCCAAGAACCAATAGGCTTATTGGTTGAAGTAAATTCTACCAAATCCTGCCTGAACATAGAAGAACTAAAAGCCAAAAAAAAAAGCGTCTCCTCATATTTCATCAGCTTCACCAACAGTTTACAAAAAATACAGGACCATGAAATATCAACTGTATCAATTTCCTCACCAAAATATTTACAGTTTGGTTCATGGAATGAATCCATTTTGTAAAACAAACACTTCGTGAAAAAGAATCAGCGGAGATAAAATTGTAGCCGTTGCATGTAACTTCGAAACAAAAATCAGATAGGTAACCAAAGCTTCAGTTTAGCCATATATTCTAGAAATACAAGCGTTGTTTGCAAATTAATATGCAGTTTAGCCATATTTTTAGATTTTCAAGAAGAAAATTTGTGCACCATATGACCAATTTAAGTAACCAAATCTTACCAGCCGAAATAAACCGCCTTTACAATTATGAAGAAAGCTCTAGGTGAGTCACATTAGCGTGCTTGAAACGCCCATTGGAGGACATCTCTGACTCCTGCACCGTCTAGTTGTTCTACCCCAGCTGATAATAGGATGCCGGTCAACTTCCAATTCAGGATTATAATTGTTATCATCAACCATAAACAATGAGGTTGGAGGGCTGATCTCGACCGCCGTTACAGAGGCCGAAGAATTTTTTTGTCGCCGTTTCCGGACGGCCTGAGCTTGTGTGCTATTCCCACGCAAACTTCGTCTCCGAATTCCCGCTTTCCAAGGGATGCCAGAGGCTTTCATCAATTCCCCAATGGCCTGAAGGTCTTCCATGGACTCTTGCCTTGATAATGTGGCAAGTGCAGGGAGAATATCCTTCTGAAAGTCTTTTTTTTGTCTTCTCTTCTTCCCTTGTACTCTTCGAGGCTTTGCTAGGAGAAGTGAGGCCTTGCTCTTCTCATTGACTTCCCCATCTTTTGCTTCCTGCGGGATGCACGATAATTTCTCTGGTTTCATCTCTTCCAGCTGCAATGTCATTAGCTCAAAAAGGTCCAATCTTTCATCTCGATGCGGCAAAAGACAATCTCCTGCTGCATTCAGTTCTGTAATATTATTGTTTGATAAAATCATCTCCGCAAATAAATGCAAGGTATTGTCTGGTTGAGTGGCGGGCATGGAGCTCTGGATTTCATTATTCTGAAATCCATCCAATGACAGCTTGACAATATTCTCTGCTGCCTCCTTGATAAGCATCTCATGGGAGCACAATTCCTCCTGCAATCTAACTCTGCTGCTAAAGGGAGTGGATGCAATGTCAGAAGTGACGTTATCCTCTTCCAGGTTCATAACTGGTGCCTCCAGGTCGATAAAGGGTAATACCCTGGAAACTAAAATTGGCTCTGAATGTACTGATGGGAGATCTGCCTGGCCTTCTGCCGAACTATCAGAGGAATCTGGATCATCCATGAATGGAAACACAGAATTTAGATCTATTAAATTCCTGGAGTTTCTTCTATTATTTTCTAAAGAGGTTGATTTTTCTGAGCTATACATTTTCATGTCATGGGGCATTCTGGCATGATTTAACTCATCGATTATTAGCTTCTCTTCATTTGAAGAAGAAGATAAATTTTGCTGGAGCTTTTCAAAAGTAGGGGTGATAAATTTCGTACTAATCAAACGGTGAGATAGCTGATTATTCTGTATTTTGCTTTCTCTTTTATGTAGAGATGATGAGAAAACATCGAAGTTGCATGAAAGAAGACTTGCTGCATCTTCGGATTTCTTCTCATGAATTCGATTCATCTGGCTGAATCCTAAATCCACCTGAGAGGGAAGCTTGCTTGGTTCCAAAGACTTGCAAGCCGGTCTTCTCTTGAGCCAAGATAGTCCAGGCAAAAAATCTTCACGTTTTGCATCTATGCCTTCTGTTGCCTTATTCTGCTGAGTGTTCGGTCCATCTTGAGTCGCGGAAAAGGAATTTTCTGCTTCATCATTGAGATTTATATTGGTAAATGGGAGTTTTATTTGTAACGTAGAATGAGATTGCAACTGAAGCCCATCATTTAATCCATTGAGATGAGAAGAAGATTTCTCTTCAAATCTCAGGGGTGACTTCAAATCAATACCAACCTGCGAACTGCTCAAGGAACCATTAGAATCTTTAGTCGCAATGTCAGAACTGCAGATCTTTTGCACTTTACTAGATCTTGAAGTTGCTGAAAATGGGCTTGACGCATTGTTTTCATCACTTGGAAACTTCGTCCAAGTTGGAACCACTGGCAAGGAGGTCATGTTGCTTTCCAGTTTAAGAGAACTTGAGAAGGAATTGGACAAGACAGAAGTAAGCTTTCCTAAATTACCGAACTCTGAATGCCCATGGGATTTTCCAGAAATTAGAAAATGATTGTCTTGTTCATGCCCAGACCATGTAGATGCTTCATTATCATCAATTGAAATAATGTCTCTCACCTTGTTAACATTCAGCTTTACAGGTTGGCAGAGCACACGGTCTTTCTCTTTATGTGAAGTTGAATTCATAAAACTTACAGGGAAAATTTTCCCTGTGAATTGTAAGAAAATAGAAGATCAGCTGGACATTCAATTCAGAGGGAAAAATTTATCCAACAGCAGACATAATAAAAATCCAAGTAACCACAAAAATCTATGGTAAGCTGCTGCTAAAATAAGTACCAGGAACAGAACGTTCTAACTTCTGAGGGCAATTTTCTAATGGATCAGCACTACGCATGCCCATTAAAAGGATAATTTATTTTCAAAAAAGTAAGGAAAACAAAAGTTATGCAAAAATAAATACTTATGAACATTACTGTGGACATGTAATTGGAGATGCCACATCTCGATTACTTCACCTCATCATAGAAGAAAATAAATTCTTATGATTATCCTCACCAAAGTAGAGCCCAGAATACAGCAGTTGAACAGCTTTACACAACAAAACTATTTAGATGTTTTATTTCTTGTCACCACACTTAAAAACAATTCGTCAAAATTTCATGGGCTCCAATGAAATAATATTTTTCATAGACACCGTCGAACTTTCATGACATAAATAAACATGTAGCGCGGGCACTATATTTTACAAACATACTCCTAAAACTATATTTCACAAGTATTCATATTATATCATATTATCAATTTTTTGGGTGACTCAAATTTTGAACATAGGACCTTCTTCCTCTATGAGATAAAAAACAATGCCAGTCAAACAAAGAGACAATGGTTTTGTTACTTGTGAAGAAGTAATGGTATTACTATAACAAAATTTATTTCTGGTGACTGATAACTAAAAAGCAAAACATGCTACTTTACAACGATAACCATCTGAAGATTCCATAGGGGTTTTACTCGATGGAAATTGATCATTATTTATGGATCAATACCAAGGTCTACAGTAAGCATCATGAACTGCACACAAATATGGCAGGGATGAGCTTGGCTTGGTAAGGTAGTCGTCATATTAAATATCAAATTGCAATTATTCCCATGGCATCTAGAAGGCATTGGATAAAATAAGGCATTAAACAATGTTCTTGAAAATCAGCAAGGAAGTTTGGTCCACAACACCAACATGGAAAAAAAGAGCTAATCGCAATGCATAAAACTCCCTCCATTGCATAGTCCAGCTTTACAGCTGCATTATCACAGACAATCTTTGTGACTCTAACTGGTGGCCTCAAGATTACAATGGAGACCCATAAGGCTAAGATATCTATTCCAACTCTTATTTTGGTTTTTCTGCTCGAGTTAAGGGCCATTTGGCTCGCAAATGATAAAACATCATTCAATTAAGAAAAACATTATGACTAGTTGTGAAATCATAAAAACATGCAATAAGCAAAAAGTCATCTGGCTCAACTCAACTAATAACTTCAAAACAATTATTCTTCGGAAAAAAATCGTCAACCAGATGATACAAATTTAATATTTGGATATTTTCCCTACAGGAGATGCATCATATTAGTTAGTCATTTACTGAGTTGCTAAGCCAATGCTAGTGACTTATAGTGGGAAATGCTCATTCTTTCCCATATATTCCTACTACTTTGCCCCAAAGCCCCAACACTTTCGAATAGCTTAAGCAGCACAAGAATACAAATATATCAAGCAAAATGGATCCCAGATTGTTACTTGAACCATCATTGGAGCTATATATATATATCATTTTTTTATCTCAGTAACAAGCCAATGTCAACATAATAAAAAATCACCAAGACGACTCTGTAAGTCTTACCAGCTTCATTATGGCATACAGAACCTCCAACTTTTTCCTCTGTTGCTCCTTGAAAAACATCAGAGAAAGTCCGTTCACCACAATCTCCATCTTTGGTGAATGCATTTTGCAGGCTCAATGTGGTTGAGCTCAAAGGAAAGTTGAGCCTGTGATTTTCGTCAGTTTGATTTTTTGGCCCAAAAACCTTAACAGGAAATGAATTAGGTGCACCCTCCAAGGATGTTTGTCTGGTAGGTTCATTTAAATCAGCCAAGCCAGTGAAATGGCTATTTTTGTGAAGATAATTCACCTTGCAAACATCTTTTCCAGCTGAACCACCAACACTAACTAAACTAAGCTTCAATTCCATCTCAGAGTCTCCGGTGCAGATTCTGGAACAAGTACTTGTGTTTACAGATGACGAACCAGGAATTTCCTCTGATCTTTCAGTATCATCAATATGTGCAGCAACCGGAAGTCGAAAATCAAGCATTTTTTTAGGACATTTTCTAAAACTGCCAGTCGGTTCAGCAACTCCTTTTAGGGTTTCAGTTTCAAGAAAATCAGAAGAAGATTGCAGATTACTTTCAAGAAAATTGACGGGATAAATAACATCATTGTATCTCGATTTTTCCCTTTTCCAGTCATTGTTGGCGCAAAGATGAGACATCTGCCGCATTCTTGTGGCATAATTAGATTGAACTTGAGATGAACAAGAAAATGTTTTTGATGGGAGTTTATGTTCAGAAATCCCAGATAAACCATTCTTTTGAAACTCCTCCATCAGATCCTTCTGTATGCTATAAAGACGGTGAAGTTCGTAGACCTGGATTGCAACAAAATAGCAAGAACCATGGTGATTATATACATAACAAATCAAAGGGAGGATCCTAACAATAAGCATAAAAAGGTAGTCCACATCCTGGATCGATGAAGAGAAGTGAAATGTTCCCTTTGTGAGAAGCCCTAATAAAAAAATTGAGATCAATTTATTAAAAAATAGGCTTGTAGAACTCATGATATTAAGTGTGGAGTCTAATTTCATTAACATGTTTGGATAAGATTTTATTTTATTATTATTTTTAAATTGGTGGATACTAAGTTAATATTCAATTATGCTTGATATTCAGGTTGGAGGCTACATAACTCAATTCATATTTAACTTTCTAAATAGTGGCTAATCTAACTTAAGATTAATTCTTTCAAATATGGCGCCTACAAAAAAGTCAAGCTTCATTAAATTCAATTTTGCTACCTACCATATTTAAGTAATAAATAAAAAGATGGCTGCATTGTGCTGATGCATCCCACAATAAGAAGCAACAAAGAGAGGTGATGGAAAGAACAAGAGGCCAGAGATGTCCATCAAGAACAAAAGGAAGAAGTTTTTCAGGTGTTCGCAAGGGAGTTCTTTGCTTCAAGGAGGAACAAACCTTGCTATTTATGGTTCTAACAAGAGAAGAATCTATTGAGCATAGCAAGGAATAGTTTTTTATTTTGACACATTCAAAAGAGATGGGAAGAGAGTTACAAAAGCAACAGCATCATCTCCTTCTCCACATCTAGCCCTCATCTTTGTAGTGGATGACTACATTTTCTCTCAATTAGACAAAATGGTATCTTCATCCATATCTCCAAATATGCATTAAGTACAATCCTTCTTTTGAAGCTTAGTTCATTATTTGATCTTTGTGCAGATGTGAACATAGGCTCACTTAAGCAGAACCACATAAATATTGGTGTGCCCTTTTTGAGATTAATGTCCACTTTTGCAGTTACTTTGTGGTTAAGTGTAATTAGGCCTAAGTTGAGGGCACTATCTTTCCTAACACATGTAATCAAGTTTTCAAGTAGTACAAAACATTTGTTTTATCACACTACAAAATTTTGGAAATGAAATGAGATTCAATAATAAAGTTGTTAGAAGGAAATAGTTTCTAACTTGTCTGACTTAAAGTCAATGTGGCCAATCATCATAAGCCTTTATATGTCATCAAAAATTGACTAACTAGGCATCATGAATTTTGATGCATATTTGAATTCAGAACTTTTGAAATCAAATTCAAGATCATTCGAACTCCAATTTTAGAAAATTTACAATCATACCAAATTTGATCTTGGAAGCAGCAGATTAAAGTAGTGCCAATTTGATGTTCACATGTCACCAAACGACCTTTTGAAAAAAGTTCACATGTCACATAATTCTTCGAACTCTCACGATGAAATTCATTTTATATAATTTATATCGGTTATATTATATCAACACATTCTCCATTTATATGGGAATGACATCATTTGTAGCTGATGACAAGCAGGAATATAATCACTTCACCAGAGCAAAGTTTCATGATTTTTCCCTTCTTTAGATTTTTCATGAAAAAACACAGGCATCTCTTATAATCTTCTTTTACCTGTGGGTATGATAGGTCTTCATGCAATACTAAAATGATAAACAATTCTTACTCTCTATTGCCACAATTTTTTTGATGTGCAACGAACCTCATGACATCATATGGACCCTAGGGTTGCTTTTAGAATGGGGGCTTCTAAACCAATAGGCTTGGAAGCAGCAGATTAAAGTAGTGCCAATTTGATGGCCTCTGCTAGAAAATTGAACAGACTGCATAACTGAGCTCAGTAAATGGTTTACATCTTATCAAGCTAAGCTTCATAGCAAGTTCTCGATGATCCTTCAGAGCTGAGGTGACACGCCACTTCAAAGACCCATGGACTGTAGACCACTTTGAGCGCATAAAAAGCCCAGAGTCACATGACTGAAGTTCAAGGGGGTGATCTTCATGTTGCTCTTGTCTATTCTATAATCCAACTTGTGGAAGCACCGACCAAACCACTACCTCTGTCTCCTTTTCTTCTACTATGGTCAAAGATTGGCATATCTGATTAGAGCTCTATCTCACGGGAGCCTAACAGAAAATAAATATTATAACATTTACTTCCTAGAATTAATTGGAATCCTTTTAAATTTTAAATTCTCTCAATTTTGAAAAGTATTGTCACTTCATTTAAAGTATATATTTCTCTATAATTATTTGTCATCATATGTACTTGAATTCCCTTAAATAAGGGATTTTTTGTAATTGGGCAATTATACAATATCAATAAATATTCATAGACAAATCAATGGAAAAGATGATGTAATATTGTAATTTTTGTCTCCATGTACTCCAGTCAAGCCGATGTTTGGTATTCATATGAGCCATTTAGTATCAATTAGGCAACAAAATTTTTTTCTTGTATTAATATTAGTTGTTGTTTCATGGTTCATATGTCGTTTAATTGTCTAGATGACATTAAGATATGCAACAAGCATGGGCAAATGCCCACCCTAAGAAAAAAATATTAGAAGGGATATTTTCGGTATTTTGACCCCCCTCAAAAAAGCATTTTAGCCCTGGCTTTATCAATCATGCCTATCCCACCCTCCAGACGCTAGTTCGCAAGCTGTTCGCTATTCCAGCCGCTTTCGAGAAATCGCATTCGGTAATTGGCATTCCACGTGTGGTCGCCGCCTTTGTCTTCGTAGCCCTCCCCTCTTCTTCCCATTCAACGTTCAAGAGATCGTTGCGACTCGCAACTTCCGTCTCTTCGCAGTCGCAAGCTTCTGCTCTTCGTAGTTGCTGCTTTAGGCGCTCGTCATTCGTCAATGTAACTTTAATCTAGTGATTAATCTTATTCTTTTGGCGCCTCCCTGCTACTCCAGTTTCCATATTTCTTGTTGAATGAGCATTAATTAGTTTTCAGAGCATTTTAATTAATATTGTGTGGTGAGAAGATCTCATAACTTTCAACATCCATATGAATTAAAACATGAAGATGTCGAAATGAAAATGAAAGGGACAGTGTGTACTACATTCTTGCTTGTTCTTCCTTTTCCAACAACGATAATTTTTTAATACTGCTTTAAGCTTGTTTTACGGCTAATGAGGACTATGTCACTGCACATTTTGGGGATCTTGCTTGTTCTTTCTTTTTCAAAACATTTTATTTTTGGTGGAATTTTCTTTTGGATAACTAGAGGAGTAGAAGTGGAGAGTTAGAGAAACCATTTGGAACTCTTTTGATTTATATAAGAAATGAAAAATGAATTTTTTTTCTGATTATGTTATCATTTGTATATAGTTCTATTTTATGAGTTTTCAAAGTCTTAATTCATTGCCAAAATGCTCATACTTTAAGAAAGATTAGTTGTAGTTCTTTGAGGGTTTCTATGATGTGTAATCCTTAGGTAGTTGTTTGATTTATTGGATTATGAGAAATGGAATGATTCTTGAAGCACTTTTTTTCCATATCTAGTATATTGTTAAATAGGTTTTAGTAACTTTGAGAGAATTAAAACTTGAAAATTGTTTGGCATGACTATTATTAAATTTTATCAATTTCTGATAATTTCTTACTATTATTTTTTTTTTCATTTTTTTATTATTGTTATTATTATTTAATTAATTAAAAATTTGACCACCCTGAAAAAAAGAGCTGGATCCGTCACTGGCAACAAGATATACTAAATGATTTCCTAATTTAACTAGCATGACTGAATTAGCTTTCGAAGCAAAAGAAGTAAGTTTCAAAGCAAAAGGAGTAAGTATTATCTTTTGCACAAACAGGTGTGCATAGGACATACCTGTTTTCTGAATATAGCTTCATGTTCAAGCATTGTCTGCTTTAGTATTTCTTTATCACATTCAGAATGTCCAGTTGAAGGACTCGGAAAGCAACCATTGTAGAGATGTTTACTGGGTGTCTTACTTATATAGAAGGAAGGCCAACTGTTGCCTGCGTCCGCATTGAGATCTCTCATTTTATCATGCCCTGGAAAGTAACTTCTGTAATGGACTTTTGTTCCCATCCCTGGCATTTTTTGAAGATAAAGCACAAAATGAAGTAATTCAGAACAGCCAAAAAAATTTCCAGTTTAGATAACAAAAAGGAACAAAGGATAAGTGATCTAGTGCGAGACTTTCTCTTGGAAAATGATCCAAGAATTCCTTTGCACATAAAGTGCAAATTTGGGACTCTATGATGACTTGATGATTTTATAATGCTAAGTATTCATTAATAACATAAAGTATAAATCACATTTCTTAATTTCTTAGAGGTATAATATGGTTGAATGCTTTGTGTGAAGTCAAGTTCAAGTTGCTATTTGTGGATTGGATCATGAATGGTCAAATTGTCTTTGCATTCTAGGATCAGGTTTGGCAACCAAGGTAAAAGGAGTAACTGTTTAGTTTTAAATCATGAAGTTTTTTTACACCTAAATTACAAATATTTTCAAGAAGGAAAAATATTATAGCCAAGGTCATAAAATGATAACAGAATCCACTCAGCAAGTTCAATAGTACCAAGGATTTCAACCAACAAGAAGAAAATTTATTAGTCCAACAAATCTGGATAAATTAGATATTTTCTGTTGGAAATTCTATGCCACTCAGTAAGTTCAACAGTACCAAGGATTTCAACCAACAAGAAGAAACTTCATGAGTCCAACAAATCTGGATAAACTAGATCTTTTCTGTTGGAAATTCTGTGCCCCATAATGCAAAACGAAGCCCTTTATGGACTCAGATCACTCAGAAAGTTTAATATGACCAAGGATTTTGTTACGCTTGGACCGGTCCCAGCTGGACCGGTCTGGTTCTACACCCGGCGGCCCAAGGCCGGGCGGAACCACGCAGAAGGAGGGGCGGAAGAGGGGGTGGGCCCAGGCAAGCATTAAACGTTTCCTTGGAGGGAATTTTTGAATTAGAAGGGTGTTTAGGGAATTTGTATCATTCCTTTAGCTTTAATTAGAGAGTAATGAGGGAATTAGGGGCATCTTGAATTTGAATGAAAGTTTGAGATCTAGGTTTTCTTGCTTTGGGCACTTGGCGTAGCCGGAGATTGAAGAGATGTTCTTCTTCTCGGATTGAAGAACAAATTGTATCTTTGCTATTTTATTCATCGTCTAGTGGAATACAAGTTGGCTTTGAGTTTTTCCTGCAGTCTTCCTCTAATTTTCTGCTGTCTGGTTGCTGTAAACAGCAATTTGCTGTGTTGTTTCCTGCTGTGGAAAGCCATTTGTCTGTTGTTTGTTCACCGATTTGGGCTAGGTTTGCTTGCGAATTCAAGTATTACCTTAGGGTTACTTGCGAACTCAATTATTTCCTATCAAATTGGTATCAGAGCATCAATTTTGGGGACCTTAGGCTCGCATCGATTTTCAGCGAGCTTTTGGCTTCCAGAAGTGAGTTTCTTGAGATCTGTGGGGAAGAACGATGGCCGGGAAGAAGATAGAAGTCTTGGAAGGCAAAGTCGGACAATTGAAATCTAATTTGGAGGGAAGATTTTCGATTTTCAAAATCAAATCACCACCAACAATGAAAGGTTGGAGGGGAAGTTCACTATGATGGAAGAAATGCTAAAAAAATTAATGGAGATGAAGGCAAATCCGACGACATCGGAAGTAAGAGAGACCACCGGAGGCCATGTCAGGGGAGGAAATCCAAACCCTTTTAGGGGGAGGAGAAATCCAGAAGTGGAGGTCATTGAGGGGGAGGACGACATGCCGCTTCTAGAGCCACTTTCTAGAGAAGAGATGAGTTTGGGGAATGATTGGAGGGGTGCTGATTTCATCGGGAGAAGGGAAGAATTCCATCGACGAGGAGTTCGGGTATAATCGCCGGAGAGAAGATCGTGACAGTTGGGGAGCACCTCATCTTCGAGGGATGGGAGGTTATGGAGGATTCAGGGGACACGGGGGAGACCCACGGGTGAGGAAGCTGAAGATGCCCGTCATTGAGGGTGAAGACGGCCATGGCTGAATCTACAAGGTGGAGCGTTACTTAACTGTCAACGGGTTGACAGAGGAAGAGAAGCTGACGGCGGCAGGACTGTGTTTGGAAGGAAATGCCTTAGCCTGGTATCAGTGGTGTGATAGGAGGGAGCCCATCCGGAGCTGGAGAGAGTTCAAGGATTGCTTATTGGAGCGTTTCCGAGCCAATGGGGGAGGAGACTTCTATGAGCAATTCTTTGTTCTGACTCAGGAGGGGACCGTGGCAGACTACAGGGACAAGTTCAAGTATTTGGCTAGCAGATTGGATCACATTTCAGAGTCAGCCCTGGAAGGGAACTTCATGAAGGGGCTGAAACCAGATATCCAAATAGCAGTCAGGGTGCTAGAGCCGAGGAACCTAGGAAAGGCTATGGAGCTGGCATAGTTGGTGGAAGATCAGAAGAAATCAGAAAGAGGAGCTCAAGGGAACTATTCTGGGGGATCATACAAGATGACTACCACCTTCTTACCATCAAAAGGGGGAGCACCAGGGAGTCAGAAGGAAGTACCCAAGGAGAAGACTGGAGGGGAAAATGGGGGACAGTTCAAAAAGTTGACAGAAAAGGAGATGCAGGATAAGAGGGCAAAGGGGTTGTGCTTCAGATGTGATGAGAAGTATATGCCGGGGCACAGGTGCAAGAACCAAACTCTTTAGATTCTCCTTGTTTGTGAAGATGAGGAAGACGAGGAGGGAGGTGGGAGCAGATCTGAGGAGGAGGAGGAGGAGAAGTTGCACCTGGATGTGACAGAAGTCTCTCTGAACTCCGTAGTGGGATTCACCCCGAGTCACACTATGAAAGTGAAAGGAGAGATAGCTGGCCGTGAGGTGGTGGTGCTAATTGATAGTGGGGCAACCCACAATTTCATCTCCAACCAGATCGTTGAGCGGTTGGGAATGGAGTTGGTGGATACAGGATGATATGGGCTGATGATGGGCACGGGAAAGGTGGAAATGGACAGAGGAGTTTGTTGAGGGGTGTTACTGAAGATTCAGGGGATCCAGGTGAGAGAGGACTTCCTTCCCTTGGAATTGGGAAGCACTGACGTCATCTTGGGGATGAAGTGGCTGCAGGCATTGGGGGAAACCAAAATCAATTGGGGTACACTGAGGATGGAGTTAGTGGTGGGGGGAAAAAAAGAGGATGATTCAGGGTGATGCCGGGCTGACCAAGACAGGAGTTTCTCTCAAATCCCTCATCATAAACATTCAGGAGGAGGGGGAGGCTATTTAGTGGAGTTGCACCGCCTGGAAGGGGTCAGATTAGAGGAGGAAGGCAATGTTCCCTCTACAGTGCAGCCACTCATAAACTAGTTCAGCAAGGTCTTTCAACCTCCCCAAGGTTTACCTCCTCAAAGAGAGTTGGAACATGCCATTACTTTGAAAAAAGGGAAGACCACGATTAACGTCCGCCCTTACCATTACCAACAGATTCAGAAAGATGAGATTGAGAAGTTGATCCGGAAAATGCTGGAGGCGGGGATCATCAGACCCAACAACAGCCCTTTTTTCTAATCCAGTCCTCCTAGTCAAGAAGAAGGATGGGAGTTGGAGATTTTGTGTGGATTACTGTGCTCTAAATAAAGGCACTGTATCAGACAAGTTCCCAATTCCAGTGATTGATGAGCTGCTAAACGAGCTATATGGGGTAGTGGTGTTTTCCAAGCTGGACTTAAAATTCGGATACAACCAGATCAGAATGAGGGAGTCAGATGTTCCAAAGACAGCGTTTAGGACACATGAAGGGCATTATGAATTTCTGGTAATGCCTTTTGAGTTGACTAACGCTCCAGCTACGTTTCAGTCCTTGATGAACATGGTGTTCAGGCAGTACCACATGAAGTTTGTCCTAGTCTTCTTTGACGATATTATGGTATATAACAAGACTGGGGCAGAGCACTTGGAGCAATTGAGGATGGTCTTAGAGGTACTGCAGGAGCATCAACTGAGAGTCAACTTGAAGAAATGTAGTTTTGCTCAATCCAGTGTGGAATACTTGGGACATGTAGTATCCCAGGAGGGAGTGGCGATGGACCAAACCAAGATTGAGGCAATGCAGAAATGTCCACTACCTAGGAACATAAAAGAGTTGAGGGGATTCCTAGGATTGATTGGCTATTACAGGAAGTTCGTGAAGGGGTATGGTACCATTGCATGGACTTTGACTGAGCAGCTGAAGAAAGACAACTTTGCTTGGGGAGAGGCAGCGACCCAGGCCTTCGAGAAGTTGAAGAAAGTCATGACCACTGTTCCTGTTCTAGCTCATCCAGATTTCAGCCAAGCCTTTGTTGTAGAGACCGATGGTCAGGATATGGTTTAGGAGCAGTGTTGATGCAGAACCACAGGCTGGTAACATACTTCAGTCAAGTGCTATGAACCAGGGTAAGATGAAGTCAGTGTACGAGAGGGAGCTGATGGCAATTGTGTTGGCCATTCAGAAGTGGCGCCCCTATCTGTTGGGTCGACACTTCATTGTCCGGACTGATTAGAGGAGCCTAAAGTACCTCTTGGAGCAAAGGATGGTGACTGAGGAGCACCAATAGTGGCTATCTAAACTTTTGGGCTACGACTTTGAGATCCAGTACAGGCTTGGTTTGGAAAATAAAGCAGTGGACGTCCTATCCAGATGTGTGGGGGAGCTCCATGAGTTAGCTCTGCGGCACCCTTGATGGTCGATTGGGGGGCCATCAAGGAAGATAGCAGGTTAGATGAAGAATTGGGAATGATCGGGGAGGATCTGAGGAAAGACAAGAGTAGTCATCCGGGTTACTGCATTGAGGGAGAGAGACTATTGTATCACGGGAGGTTTGTGATGCCACGAACTTCCATACATATTCCCCACTTGTTGCAGGAGTTCCATGGCAGCACAGTAGGAGGCCATTCAGGAGTGCAGAAGACATACAGGAGGTTAGCAGCTGAACTCTACTGGAAGGGGATGCATAAGGATGTGGAGGAGATGGTGGCAAGGTGTTAGGTGTGTCAGAGAAATAAATACATAGCAATGGCACCAGGAGGGTTACTCCAACCATTGGCACTTCCAAACAGAGTATGGGAGGAAGTGGCCATGGATTTCATCGAAGGCCTACCCTGCTCAGAGGGATTCACAGTCATTTTGGTAGTGGTGGACCGACTCAGTAAGTATTCACATTTCATCCTCCTACGACATCCGTACACCGCGGTATCAGTGGCAGTAGCTTTTATCAGGGAAGTGGTTAGATTACACGAGATGTCTGAATCAATTGTGACTGATAGAGGCAAAGTGTTCCTTAGTCAGTTTTGGAGAGAACTGTTCTGAATGCATGGCATTGTCCTCAAGAGAAGTATCGCCTATCATCCTCAGACAGAAGGACAGACAAAGGTGGTAAACTGGAGCTTAGAGACATATTTGAGGTGTTTTGCTTCAGAAACACCACGGAAGTTGGCTCAATGGTTACCATGGGCAGAGTATTGGTACAACACCTCGTACCATTCTGCTTTTCAGATCACCCCGTTCAAATTGTTGTATGGGAGGGACCCCCCACACCTAGTGCACTATAGGAGAGAAAGTACACCTATCTCTTCAGTGGAACAATACCTAGAGGAAAAAGACCTTTTGTTGGATGAGTTGAAGAAACATCTGGGAAGAGCACAACAAATCATTAAAAAGCGAGCATATACACACAAGAAGGACATACAATATGAAGTAGAGGAGATGGTGTACTTGAAGCTAAGGCCCGACAGGCAGAAATCAATGGTTAACAGGAGGAACGAGAAATTGGCCCCGAGGTACTTTGGTCCCTATGAGATTCTTGGGGAAGATTGGAGCAGTGGCGTATCGCCTGAAGTTACCCTCCTCCGCTACCATACACTCGGTGTTTCATATGTCACAGCTAAGGAGAGCACTTGGAGAGCATGCAGCTAGTGTGGAATTGCCAGCATCACTGCAGAGGATTTGGAGGTGGTCATGGAACCCGTGAAGTTGGAAGGGGTAAGGTTGGATAAAAAGGGAAACAAAGAGGTGTTGATCAAATGGAAGGATCTCCCCGACTACGAGGCCACTTAGGAGCCCTATGAGATGGTGAAGCAGTAGTTCCCGTACTTTCACCTTGAGGACAAGATGAATCTTTGGGAGGAGAGTAATGTTACGCTTGGACCGGTCAAGTTCTACACCCGGCGGCCTAAGGCCGGGCAGAACCATGCAGGAGGGGCGAAAGAGGGGGCGGGCCCAGGCAAGCATTAAACGTTTCGTTGGAGAGAATTTTTGAATTAGAAGGGTGTTTAGGGAATTTGTATCCTTCATTTAGCTTTAATTAGATATTAATGAGGGAATTAGGGGGCATCTTGAATTTGAATGAAGGTTTGAGATCTATGTTTTCTTGCTTTGGGCTCTTGGCGTAGCCGGAGATTGGAGAGTTGTTCTTCCTCTCGGATTGAAGAACAAATTGTATCTTTGCTGTTTTATTCACCGTCTAATGAAATACAAGTTGGCTTTGAGTTTTTCCTGCAGTCTTCCCCTAATTTTCTGCTGTCTGGTTGCTGTAAACAGCAATTTGCTGTGTTGTTTCCTGCTGTGGACAGCCATTTGTCTGCTGTTTGTTCATCGATTTGGGCTAGGTTTGCTTGCAAACTCAAGTATTACCTTAGGGTTACTTGCGAACTCAAGTATTTCCTATCAGATTTCAACCAATAAAAAGAAAATTCATGAGTTCAACAAAACTGAATTAACTAGCCTTGACAGCATGGAATCATAGGTCACAATGCTAAAACAGCAATTTATGGACAAGAGACAAATATGAGTGCAAACATCATATTATTATTATTATTTTAATCATTTTTAGCTCTTTAAAAGCATAAAGTTGCATTTTGTTAGAGAAGCATCACCCAAAGAAACATTCTAATAGGAAAGCAGCTCCTAGAGTTTTGGGCATGATTAACAAAACAAATAGCTTCCTAAATCCTTATAAAATCAATCCTGAGTTCCTCTTTCAAACGATGTTCAATTGATTATCCACAAAGAAGCCGAAAGAGTGAAAAGAGGACCAAGTCAACAACTTGCTAGCACTGCTTTCAAACATACGCCAACCAAACATTGTTTTGCTAAATAGCCGAAGTTGCACATGAATTGCTGTGTTGTTAAATAAACCAAGACAGACATAGAAATTAATCATAACTTAGGTGAACGAATTACAAGAAAAAGGCTCACTTATTCTTCAGAGCTTAGAAGACTACAGAAAATGATGGTGTTAAGTTAAGAAAGGAACATCTAGCAATTACGAAATCACTTGGTACCATATTCAAACTGAATTTGAAGTTTCCATAGCTAAATGATGATAGCCTTACAAGATATTAATTTCAATGCTCGAATACTGTCTGGAAGAATATAGACAAAATATCAAAATTAATGACGAAAAGTAATATTGAATGCCATAATAAAATTAAGATCAAAATTAAAAATGGACGTTAAAGACACAGAACCAAAAGGACATCAAAGTTACAATCACGATAACAGTTGGATGGTGCAATGATCCCAATCAAATCAAACTTCTTTTCCAAATTAACTCTGTTTGAAGAAACAAGTCAATCCAAGTGACGCATATAACACATTGAATAACACGCAGTTAAAAAGGTTGGAAGTGCGAGATTACCCAATCAATTAGGAAACAGCAATTTGTAGAACTTTCCCATTAAACTCTGCACTTGCAATCATTTTTCATCCTTGAAAAGATCTGATGAAATACCGAAATCATTCATCACTGAGAAATAATACTTCAGAAATTAACGCAACTCTGCGGCCTCTAAAGTTGGACAACATAAATAAACTTGAAAACTGCATGCCACACCAAAAGCCTAAGATAAAACACAATTTTGAGAGGGACGGATGAAGCCCTTCAATTTGATAATCAAGAGAAAGGCTTGCACTCTCCAGCCAAGCTGTTGACACCAAAAAGAATGGCTTATATATGATATCTACCGATATACAAAAGGCATTATAATTTGTGAGATGAAGAAATTCATACAAATACTTGCAATAATTGATGGCAATAAGTGCAATTCAAGACCATTAAATCAAAGCAATTAAACTTAAATTAGTCATTGGTAAGAAATTTGAACAAACACTCAATGAAGACATAAGGGAGAATGGCTACCAATGATAACGGATGTAATCTTAAAATGATGCCACATTAGTGGCTCATATGATAGCATATATAAGGCCAAATTTAAATTTAATAGCTACTAAATTAATGACTTTTATTAATTGTAATGGGTTGAAAAAACACATATCTTATTGAAAAACTTTATAATAGAGTAAAATATCTCATAACTAAAAAAAATATTAACTTCGGCGTAAGATTCTTATCTAGTAAAAGATCTGCTCTTGAATAAGAAGCCAATTTCATAAAATCTTATCTTAAGGTCAAAGACCATAGATCTAAATCAAAGTCTTTATTTATATGGGGAGTGTAGCATTACTATTTTCAAAATCAACATGCATATCAAGTTGTAACTTCAAAATCTTATTTGCAGAGAAATGAAAATATTAAAACCAAGTGGCCTGAAACTGAACTTTAATCGAAATTGAGATCAATAACTAAAACTGTAAAAAGTAGAAACACCTTCGATGCTTCAACTGCAGATAATTAGTCTACGAGAAAAGATAAAATTGAAAACCAACAAAAAAGAGAGGTTAAAGCGATAAATCTCTCAAACCCATCAAAGCTCAGTCCCCAGCCCGCACAGAAAAGAGAATTGAACACCAAAAACAACTCAAATCACTCCAAAAATCTAAATCCAATCAATCCGGAAAAAAAAAATCCATCAAACCCCACAACAGAATCTCGTGTCTCATGAGCATTAAGAGCAGGAAGGCAAAAAAGCAAAACTCAAAACGTCAAATTACCTCAACTAGAACCCTCTAACAGTATTCAGAACCCCCTGAAGACGATTCGATAGCATGACCAGAAACATCAAAACCCAAAAGTCCCCATCTTCCTTCTACCATGGAGATCAACGATGTCCAACCCATTCTTACTGCGAGAACAAGCCAACATAGGAAAGGACAAGGAAGCCGCAGTGCTACTACAATTACCACAAAGAATAATTTAGGCGATGGAAGACTACATCAACGCACCAAAGTCGAAATGTTTGGAAGAATCTTGCTGTTCGGAAATATAAGAGGCTTAAGATCGTCATCAGATTGGGATATCTCAATCTCCTGGGCCAGGTTAAGGAGAGAGACAGAGAGATCCGAGATAATAAAATCTCTTTCGACCTTCCACAAGAACAGTAACAGGGAATTTGTCGCCATCCGGCCTTCTTTACTAATTCCAACCTTTTTTGCCCTCCATTTTTTCTCCTCTCTGCTTCTTTTATTGCCTATCGTGACCACCCACAGAATCGCTCATCGCTTCTCCCTTCTTTCTCCTTTTATTTTTTCAGCTCGCTCATTCTCTTCTTCCTAAATAATAGAGGATTCGGAGATTCTCTCTCTCTCTCTCTCTCGCTCTCTGTGGGCGCTCGTTTGGTGGCGAGGAGAGAGAAATAGATTTCTGAGAGCAGAACAAAAAGCCACATATGCCGCTTCGGTCCACTGCCCCTAAATCTGTTACCGTACAGTTTTTTTAAACATTTGTTTTATTTTATTTTATTTTTCTTTATTAACAGTTTAAGTACTGTAAATCATTTTAAGAAATTTTCCAAATTCGCTTATATTCTCCATAGCAGTGGTAGTTGGGAGGTCATTAGTTTAATGCCATATTTAGTGTTGGTTTTAAGTTTCCATTAATATATCATCAAATGTTAAATGATAATGAAAATAGAGAGGATGGACTTTTTTTCTAAAGAGGGGATTAATTAACAACTAATTAGTTTTAATCTTATTGATAAATCATTAAAAAAGTCATCAATTAGATATGAATTTTGAAGTAAAAAATTTTCATAATTGACTTTCGGGATCTATGAACTTCTATTTCAGCAAATTTATAACAGCATTGATTGTCAAGATGGAATGAACCCAACTGCACCAAAAGTATTTTGATATGAATCTAAACAAGCAAAAATCAAGAACTTTATAAGTAATTGAAAACTTCATGATATTGATAGGGCCAAATGATTTTCAAATTGTGCATGCTTGCAGTTAAAATAATTGACTCGGTAAGAGAAATCGAACAAGTCCAATTTCACTCAATTTTGAGGTCATTAAAGCACTTTATTATATAAAGAACATAACATAATCAAAAGAATTAACAGTGGATGTCTAGTTAAGTGTTTAGCATTTGGGCTTAAATTATCAAAATGATACTTCAAAGCATTATATAAACTCCTATGTATTCATATAAAGATCAGCTTAGACCCTTAAGTTGAATTTGGATAAATTATAGAGATCTGAAGAGTTATAGAATTGTACATGACATTTGATGTTAGAGATCATTGTTAGCAAACATTGGCATCCATTCGTTGTCACCAGGCCTTCGTTGCTTGATCATCATCACTTAATCACAATCTCATCACTCAATCACAATCACTAGAATTGAATCGTCTGGTAATTGTTGTCTATCCGATGTCACCTAATTGTTATTGCTCGACTATCCTTATCTAAACTATGATTACCCTCTACTATTTTTCTAATAATCTCTATTACAACTACAAAGAGATCAACCTAATACTCATAATTTTGCATTCTTATTTTCTTAAAAGAGAGGATGAGTGAACTTCTATAATCTTACTTATATAGTAGTTCATATCAATTAGGATAGATCCAATGTTTTTTTTTTCCCTTCATTTTCACATTTTTATGTTAAAAAATTGATCTCTTGCAACCATCTTCTATCATTGAATCTGTTGGATTTCTATATAATACTACGATATTAATCTCTTTCTATTGCTACACATATTCTTACACATAATAATTATTATTTTTTAAAATATGATCAAAATCATTATTGTTACTATTATTAAAATAATGCATTTAAAACTTTTGGATTCTTAAAATCATTATGATAGATGACCTTAATCATATAAGAAAAAATTTGTAATTTAACCTATGAGTTGTTGATTATATATATATATATATTTGGAGTGAAATATAAAGATCAAACTAAACCCTTAGGGCATCTCCAACCGAAAACTTCATTTTTCACGGCAAAGTAATGCAAAACTCCAAAATGGCGCGGTGATGTTCCAATCGAACGCCATTTTAGGTGTTTTTGAGAAGGTAACAAGCAA